CAGTGACTTCAGATCAAAGAAACTTGCCTGAATCTTGGTGTTTCCATGGACAAGGTATATTTGTCAGCTTTCTTGTGTCTGGTAGGATGCCTCTCAGCCACAATTTAAAGGAAAACAAGAGCTTTAATTTAGCTCATGGTTTCTGGGGAATTCAATCTAAGGTTAGCTGGCTCCAAGTTAGTCACATCATGGTGGAAGAGTGTGGCTGAGCAAGGTTGCTTGACTTATTGTGGCCAGGAAGCAAAATAGGGGAGCAGCAGAGAAGAAGGAGCAAGGGACCAGTTAGTTATATACCAATGTTCATGCCTCCAGGACCCACTGCACACCCAGAAGTATGCTATACTGGTCCCCTGGGTGGCACAAGTTGACACAATCAAGCTTCATCCCATGTTTTGAGATTTCATTCATCAGATCAATTAGTCCACTGCCCTTAATCTCGGTTTCAGGATATGGGCAAAATATAGACAATATTTTTCTCAGAGTACAATACACATGGCCTGGAGTCCAAATGCCAGTAGAGACCTTCCTAACTAAAACCTCCAAAGCCTGGTCCTTACCATCTGTATTTTTATCAGCATTCTGGTCTTCTTGTGACCAAAATCTCCCATCAAGTTTGACTTACAGCATTCTAGGATTTCACTAACTAGCATCTCCAAACCTTTCCAAACTCTTCCTGCAAACCACTTTCAAACACTGCTAAACTACATGCCCAGGTAGTCACAGAAATATCCTCATGTCTCTGATATGAAAATATATCTTAATTGCTTTCCTCACTACCAAGACAGATTACTTGACATCCACAACTTGAAGGAGGAGAGGTTTATTTTGGCCCACATTCTTAGTCCATAATCCTCTGGCTCCAAGGCAGAAATGGCATGGCACAAGAGTCTGGGTGTAGGAAAGCTGCTCAGGTCATAGAAGCCCAGAATCAGAGAAAAGAGAGGAACCAGGACAAGAATATACTCTACCAAGTCAGCCCCTCCCTGAGCTGCCTCTAAACGGGCCTCACCTCTAACAACACAGTCTGCTATTAAACTCATTAGTGAATGAATTCACTGATAAGTATGATACCCTCATGATACAATCATCTTCCCAAAGGCCCGCCTCTGAATATATGAGTCTTTTGGGACATTCTAGATCTAAATCACAACAGAGCCATACTTTCTAAATCTCTGTAATTGCTCAATTTTGACAAGAAAGCTTGTATGACACTGACTCCAACCAGCTATCACAACATGCTCTGAGGACTTTCATTGTGGAAAGCTTCCTTGGCACCAAGGCACAAGGCTTCAGATGGTTACAACTGGCAATGCACTCAGAAAAGAAGAAAATGCTTTTAGAGACAAGGGAAGAAATTGTGAGCACCACAGAATCACCTGTGTGTCAACCCTACCAAAATAAGTAGAGGCACAGAGGTTATGAAAGAGGGTTCTTATGCATGATTGTCTAAAAATCAGAAGCCCTTTCAAGTGGTGTAACTATTGGATACCTCCTGATGCTGGCCATTGTGTTTGACCACACAATCCTGAGAATTTTTTTCAGGCTCAAGTGTTTTCCTTTGCTCATGCTCCAGCTACCTTTGATGGAGTCTACATTCCAATTCATCCTTACACAGATATCTAGACCTCAGGCTCTCACTAGTGAGAGCTGAACTAGATAGAGCACGATGGGCTGCTGTAACTGGCATTGAAATACAGAACTTTGAAAGTTAGATTTTCTCTTTTTAGAGACAAGTGCCTTCTTCAGCACTCCTCAGGCCTAGGGCATAAACTCTACCACCACCTCTTTTCAGCTCAGATGCATAGACAGAATGTACAGAGGCCACCACCTGAAGGTCAAAGTCCAGTTTCATTGTCATGGGGAAAGGAGAGAGAGGTCTGGGCTCAGGAAGGGGAAGAACAGGCTAGGATATATCTATTGTCTCATTGTACTCCCTGCCCCTACTTGCTATAAAAGATCCTAAACACCTCACAGCTGTACACAGTAAGATGGCCTTCAGGTGATGAGGCCCCTCCAAATGCTTGGAGCTAGATTGTAACAAGTCTTTTTCCCCCTTTTTCCCAAATAAATGGCTTCATTTGAGTTGGTCAGTGACGAGAAAAGGAACCTGAGTATATAAACTAAGTGGTCAGAACAATGGCATTGGACCACAGTGATCATGATGGAATGCTAAGATGTGGTTAGTGTCTAGATGAACCAGGGTGTATTGATGGACAAAGTACAAAGTGTGAGGAAAAAGGTAATCAAATGTGGTGGCACATGCCTATAATCCCAGCACTCAGGAAGCTGAAGCAGAAGGATCGCTGAGAATTCAAGGGCAGCCTAGGCTACATAGTGAGTTCACGGCCAGCCTGTCCTACACAGTGAGATCCTGTATCACAAAACAAAAACAAAACAGATTTGGGCCAATCTTGCAGTCTTCCTCCCTCAATGTCCTAGAGTCTTGGGATCACACGTGTGTGCTAACACTCCTGGCTGCTCCAGGGATTTTAAAGGCATCTGAAAAGATGAGTAGGAAAGACTGTAGGATGTTATGGGGAATCTTGTGAACTTATTGGATTGAGAACACCTAGGAAATTAGTAGGTTTTTTGTTTTGTTTTGTTTTTTTGGTAAAGCACACTTCTAGATGTGTCTGTGAGGATGTTACTGGATAAGACTGGCATGCGGAGCAACACATTGAAGGGGAGACCAGTCCTGAATGTGAATGGTATCCTCTAATCCAGTAGGGGCCTAAAAGGAATAAGAACAGGAAGCAGCACACCAGATGTCCCCTCACCTGCTTCCATGCATCTTTAAATCTCCACCATGCCCACTACTGTGATGTTCTGAATTCACCCTGGACCACATAGAACCAGCTATCCATGGACTGAAACCTCCGAAGCCATGAGCCAAAATAAATCTTTCCTCCTTTAAGTTGTTATTCACAGATATTTTGTCATAGTGACAGAATGCTGACCACACAGAAGGTTTTAGAGAGGGACTGACTTCTTCCTTCCTCAACAACAGAGCAGTCACCATGAGGTCTAGTATATCTAGGAACTTCCACATCCTGTGAATCTTCTGGGGAGGCTTTAGAATAGATCAGCAGCTGTCATCAGAAAGGAAAAAAGCGATTTCATTTTTGTTTGTGGACTAAGGAGCTGGTCATTTGATCCCCTAGTAGGAAAATTTTTTCCAAGTCAGAGTTTTTGAAGTCTAGTTGACTCCATGTATGAACAGGTCCAAGAAAACATATTTGTGTGTGTCGGAGTGTGTGGTATGGATATTGAATCCAGAACTTTATACTGAACTCTAATACCCTGCCCCTTCTATTTTTTATTTTGAGAGAGTCTCACTAAGTTGCCCAGACTTAACTTGAATTTTCAATCCTCTCAACTCAGCTTCCCAAAGTGCCAGGATTACAGGCATTATTCTTTTAAATAATGTTGATTCCAATTTATTAAGACCCTGTCCTAGACCCTGGGGATAAAGAGCCAAGAAAATGTCCCAGCCATCCTGTATTTTGGTGGTTAAGGGGCAATAATGCCCCTCCCCCACAAAGAGAAGATATTTCCAGGGTGTGTATTGATTTAACCACCAGACACTGTATACACTAAGAACCTACTATGTGCACAATGTTAAGATGTCAAAAAAGTTACACAAGGTATTCAATGCTAGGGTATAGGCCAAGTTAAACAAGGGGTGGGGGCATGTAACTGAAGCAGACACAGTAACTGCTCACAGGACACAAACAGCAGCTATGTCAGGGGCCAGGCCAGAATGATAACACTCTGTAGACAAAGATAAGATTTCAAGGAGAAAAATAGGGTCTTGCTAAATCACCAAAGTGCTAAAACTGGTCTTGAATTCACCCACCTGTTGCAGCTTCCCAGAGTGCTCTGTCGGTCTGAGATTTAGGCCCCTGGCGCAGTGCCAGCTTGGCAAGCATGAGGGCCTGAGTTCAATTCCTGGTACCAAATAAAACAAGAGTCCTCTGTTTTCAGGCATGCACTGGCTCCCTTTATCTTCAAACAGAGGTGATGAAATTCCCATGTGGAAGCTGCCCTCCTTGCACCAGGAGAAAAGAAATACTATCAACGGCAGATTGAGACTCAGATAATTATGCACAATCTTATTAAAATAACTCATTTTCTTTTAGCTTCCTTATATATTCTTGTGACTTTCCCACAATCAGCTCTGCTTTGCCAATTCTCTAGGTCTTCATTTCCTTGTGAGGTCTCTGTGTCCTGTAAATCTTAGATTTATTACATCTATGTGATTTGCTGCCGCAAACCTGTCATAATCCAGTTATTTCTCAGGCCCAACCCGACACCTTACCAGGATAAAGTTTTATTTCCTTAAGTGGCATGTGCTTAAAACCCCAAGAAAATGTCCTGGCCTTTGCCGCAGTTTCTTGGACACCTAACGTTCTTTTCATCTCCAGCCAGCTAACCAAGTCCTCCTCCCTAAGGGACAAGTGAGCAGGGCCGGCGCGGGGCGGGAGAGGGGGTTCAGGGCCAGAGGAGTACAACCAAGGGCACAGCAACGGGACAAGGGCACGCCAAGGTCGCGTGATAGGGCGGGGCTTCCCTGGGACTCCCCATGACACGCATCCCTGGGACCCCGCCTCCCACGCCCCTGAGGGAACTTGCACGTTGGGCACTCGTGTGCTGCGCAACCGGAAGTCCTGAGTGCCCCGGGTAGTGCGGGGCAGACAGTGCCTGGCGCTCTCCAGTTCACGCCCCTCTCAGGTTAGGCCCGCCCCCCCCCCCCCCCCCCGGGCTAGGTCTCGGCCTTCCATCTCCAGCCTCGCCCTAGATTCCTACTTCCTCCAACTAGGCCCCGCCCCGCACCAACCACCGCCCACCCTCCCCTGGCTACGCCCTTGCCCAACCCCCCCCCCCCCGCCTGGCCACAGAGCCCTCTCCTCCATACTAGGCCCCGCCCCTCTTTTGGGCCGCACGCCAGGCCACGCCCCCCAACACGCCCCCTGCGCCGATTACGTCCCGAGCGCGCCCCCTCTGGGGCAGCTCGGGAAAGGCGGCTGGCGGCGGGCTCTGCTGGTCCTGGTGGCGAGGGCGGGGGCGCGGGGCTCCCCGCTCCCGGCCGGTGCCATGGGGAACAAGCAGACCATCTTCACCGAAGAGCAGCTGGACAACTACCAGGTGAGCAGGGTCCCATCAAGGCCTCCCAGTGCCAGGACGCCGGGGCTCCACGTGAGCCCGACCTTGGGCCCATGACCCGTGCTCGCCCCCCAGCCTCAGTTTCCCTGCCAGTTACGAGGCCCGTCCCAGCTGGTGATTGTCGGGCCGCGCCTTCTCCCCTCTGCCTTCCCGGTGTACCCTGGGGCCTTCGTCCCGGGGTGTACCCTCTGAGAGGAAGATGGAGAGTCAGTCAGTCGGTGAATGCAGGGCTGCAGAGAGCTGAAGTAAGGGAACAGGTCCTCTGTGACGCTCACCTTCACATGAGTGGGAAGAAACACCTAGAGCAAGCAGGCGAGCCAGGGTCCTCCCTCTGCCCCTTGTCCTGAGCAAACCTCCGAAGGCCCCTGTCCAGATGATAGCCTACTGCACACCTGTTCTGAGGTTGTAAGTTGAGGGTCCCTCCTTGGCGCCCCCGTGCCTCCTCAGCCCCCCTCCCCCGCGCCGCCCTTGCCTGCCTCTGCCCAAGCCCACCAGAGAACACCATGTAGTTGCTGCCTCCTTGTGCAGTTTCCTGGGCCTGGAAGCCTCTCCCACCCTCAGTCCTCAAGGCCTAATTCTGATGGCTCCTCTCTGATCCTCAGGCAGGGGACAGGATGTGGGTCACCTTTGTTCCCAGAAGAGAGGGACACAGTAGGCACCTGTGGCTTAAGGAATGCTTTTATCAGCGTCAGTCCTCTGCTATGGGCAAAGATGCAGTAAAAGGCTGTACTGTCCTGAAGCCCTCATCATGAATAACACAGGTTTCCCAGCTCTAGCAGAAGGCTCCAGGCAAGAAGAGAGGCCCTGAATGTATGGAGTGCCTGCTGTGTTCCAGGCCGCACTGTGGCACAAGCACATGGATGGTCCAGGATGGATTCCTAGCCCCGAGCTAAGGAGACAAGGGAGCTCATTACTGCTATGGCCAGGCAGGGCTCATCAACATTTAAATCATGAATCCCAGGCTTCTCCCTTTCTTCTGATGATGTAGGCTGGGCATGCAGAGTCTAGTGAGACAGACTGACACCTCCAGTGTGGTCCTTGTGATAGAGGTAGGTGGCAGAGTGTGTCCCAGGGAAAAGTGCTGGTGGGTGGGGGAGGCTGGCCGGGCAGAGGCTTCAGTTGAGGCTAGAAGGTGCAGATACAGGGCAGGGCAGTGCTGGGCAGGCTCTTGGAGTTGAAATTTGGCTAGTGGGGCCTAGTGAAGACATTCCAGGTGGACAGGCAGCTGGGATAAAGGCCAGAGGTGGCACAAGCAAGCCCCCTATAGCCAGAAGTACACTGTGCCCTGGTGGGGGTGGGGACCTGGTTCCCACTCCCATCAGCCCAGCATTGGGTTACCCAACAGAGCTGGGTCCAGTGTTGGATTGTGGTCTTTTGCCAGGGCCCATTAGACAGGGTGGGGAGAAATAAGAGCCAAGAAACCTGAGAGCCCCATCTCCTCACTCTAATTCCCCAGCCTGGCTGCAGGCCTGGTTTAGGGTAGCCCTGTGTTACAGCTGCTTCACCCCCATGGAACCCCCAGTTTCCTGGTACCTTTCAGCCTGACAGTCTTTCCTTTCCAAGGTGTGGTGTCCCCTTCTCAGTTTCCAGGGACCAAGGATACCCAAAGCTTAGGCTCCTGTCTAGAGCATTGTGCTGCATTGCATACCCACTACCCAGACCCCTCAAACACTGAAACAGGCCTGGCTGCTCCCCCAAACTCACTGTTACTCCTCCAGCCATTGGAACTTTTCACTGTCCCTCAACCTGTGGTTTCCCTTAGGAACAGGCCCTGTAACCTAGCCTCATGTTCTGTCCCCTGGAACTTCCATCTTCTGTCCCCATGCTAAGCCCTGGGCCAAGCCTCCTCATCTCTTGGAAGGCCTGACCACACTCCTGTTTCTTGGGTCTCTCTCTTCTCCCTTCCTTTCCCCTTCCATCCTCCCTCCTCCCTTCTTTGTCCTTTCATCAGATACTATATATCACCACTGGAAAGCACATTGCTTCTTCAACCATCATCCCAGGGCAGAGTGGCACCAACTTTGTGCCAGCCAGGACTCTTGCTGTGGGAGTTCTCAGGGGAGCTATCTATGGGACAGCCATGCAGGACCTTTCTAAAGCACAGGTGTGACCCTGTCCCCTCTCAGTGATTCCATAGTATCTTGGGGTGACTGCCTGTGCTAACTCTAGAGCACTAGGCTGGACTGGGCTCAGCAGCCTTTGTACACAGCTCTTATTCCATGTTCCAAGCATTCTGAAGAGCTACAGTCAGCACCCCTCACTCCTTCTCCAGCTGTTCCGCAACCTCTGTCCAGGTGTCAACCAATTTTGGCTTTATTTTATTTTGCTCTTTGAGACAGAGTCTCACTAAGTACTTCAGGCTAGCTTTGAACACATTATGTAGCCCAGGGTGGCCTCGAACTCATGGTTATCCTCTTGCCCCAGCCTCCTGAGTGCTTTAATTATAGGCATGCACCACCACACCCAACAAAAGTTGACTAGAATATTTAGAGCCAGTTGGTAACCGTTGTCTTGGCCTTTCTGCACCTTGGGATTGCCTGAGTGACTTTGAAGATCCCTGGTGCCCAGATGAACCCCCAGGAATACCTACTTATTTGGTCCGGGGTGCTGAGGGGTCACAGGGAACACAGACATTTTAAAATTCCTCTGGTGACTCTGCTGGGGGGCAGACATTTTCATATTTGTGCATGTCAGCTTCACTGGGAGGTGCTAGAAATGCAGGTTCCCAGGTTCCCCTGAGTATCTGATTCAGAATCAAAGTGGAGCCCGAGAGCCTGCATTTCTACCAATTTCCCACAGGGCTGCTGGTGCTGGTGCTGGTCCAGGTACTACATCCTAAGGACCATTGGTGAGGAGAAACATGAGCAACTGTGACAAGGGACCATGGTTATGTGGGGAACTTGTGCATCTTTTGCCACTGGTACCCATGGATCAAAACCTCCTGAGCCGGGCCAGTACATGGTAGGGGGCTGTGCCCTTTCTAACCCAGGCTGCTACCTTGCTAACCAGGTCATAGGAGAGGGAGGAGAGGGGAAGTAAGGAAGAGGGGAAGTGGGAAAGTGGGATGCACAGGTCAGAGGAAGGGAGACAGGAGCCAGGACCTGTCCTATTCTAGTCCTCCTGTGGTCTGCACCTGGAAGGCACAGTCCCCTACCTCTCTGCTGCCTGCTTCAGGCCTGAGGCCTGCTGAGGAATCTTTCTGCATAGCGGCCCAGTGCAACTGAGGCCTGGATACAGTGTCCAAGCCATTACAAGGTCCCTTTCTGTCTGTTTTAGGCCTACTAGGCAGGGAGTTTTCCTGTCTGTTTTCCCAGAGCCTTTCCTGCCACAAAAGAGCCTTTGATAAAAGTTAAAGACCACCTGTACCACTTCTGCCACCACCAACCCCCTGCTGGTTTTCCAAAAGGTATTAAGCAGCTTAGTGCCTTCATCTATCACCCAGAAGGGCCTCAGAAGGCCTCAGAAGGACAGGCTTGCTGAGCTCTGTGGGCTGGAAAGCTATGCCAGTGTCCGCTGAAGCCCTGTTGGAGGTGCTCAACAAGAACCCTTGCTGTTGTGTGTACCTTGTGCATCCTTTGTGGCTGCCTCAGTGTATAGTGCAGTTGTCCTGATGTCCGTGGCTCCAGATTGCACCCAAAGCCTGAAGTTCATAAGTGCCCTCTGAGCCTACCTTTCAGCCCAGGAGATTGTTTCCCTTCATGCTGTGATGGCGGACAGAGGCAGAGAGGCCTGTAGCCCTGCAACGTGGGGTTTCCAGAGCTGTCTTCAGCTGCTGTCCTCATACAGCAAGCATATCCTGCTGGCCCTCAAGTCAGCTGTACCCATCTGTGAGCACCCATCTTTTTCCCCACCATGTGTCCTAGCCTGACATCACAAAGTCCCTTGCACTCAGTTGTCCCTGGGCAGGGTGGGCAGGCCAGACATGGGTCGTGGCAAATTCTGGCTCCATGCAATGCTGTCTTGTGATGCCCTGTGGCTCCAGGAAGGGACCTGGAACCTCAGGCCTACCATGTGTGTTTTTCCTCCACAGGACTGCACCTTCTTCAATAAGAAGGACATCCTCAAGTAAGTGTGGCTTCTTGTCTACTCCTTTAGGGCTGGGGCTGGGGCTGTGGCAGGGTGGGTCAGGGACCCTGCGTGGGCTGCTTGTAGAAGCTGGCACTGAGGAATGGCTTGGACACTGTATCCAGGCCTCAGTTGCACTGGGCCGCTATGCAGACTTGAGAGCTCTTCACTGTTCCACTTTCTCTGCCAGGCACGAAGCATCTGCTTACTATGCTGGCCTCTCTCCAGGGCGGGGTCATTTAATCCTTACCATGACGTTATATCATGTTACCCCACCACCACCACCACCACCACACAGATGTGGCTCAGCAACTTGATGCAGCTCATTCCACCAGGGACCAGGGATCTGGCTCCAACGGGTGCCTTGCTTCCCTGCCTCATGGGGAGCTGCTATAGGGAGGCCCTGTCTGTTGTTCTCCAGCTCTGATATTCTTTCACTCCTGGGAGTTCCAGCTGTTGGAGCAACCCTGTGCTGGTGGGTCAGGGATATGGCCTGTAGCCTTCACTGGGCCTTAAAGGGCCCAGGCTATTGGGTGGCATCGAAAGCCAGCGAAGCCTCAAGTTCACTTTCCCTGGAGATCAACGGAGGCTTGGCCAGTGCCTACGTGGTTTCCCTAGTGCTGTACTGTAGTGCATCCTTGATCTCTTTGCTTGGCCAGTCCATGCACCTGCCTAGGCTACCACTCTGCCTGTCCCCGGGCAGGTGGGGACACCTGCTTTCCCCTTGAGAGGCCTAGCCTTGGGGAACATGAATTCTACTTCCAGGTTCCAACTCCGTGGCCACAGGCAAGGTGTGACTTGTCTGCCTTAGCTGTTCTGGAAAATGAAGGCAGGAGTCCTACTCAGTGCCTGATGACTGGGGCTTAGCCTGTGGCTTAGTGATGTAAGCTAAGTCCCCACTGAGACAGAGTGTCTCTTGAATGTGTCCCACAGCCACCATCCAGGTGTTCTGGTGGGCAGACCTTCTTAAGTTTTGCCCAACTTGTCTTGTGCTGCAAGCAACCCCCCTCCATCCCATGTTGCAGATAGCCCCAGGCTGTATCTCTCCTGAGATCTGTGCCATTTTCATTCTGTCCTTTTCACAAGCTGTCTCTGCTACCTGGGACCCAATTTTTTACTTCTGCCTTGATATTGCCATACCTCCTTCCAGAGTCAACTGGGTGCTTCCCCCACCTCCTGTCACCCCAGTTGTCTCACATCCTGGGGAGCCCTGGGTGACACTGGTTTAGATGCTAGCACCTACCAGACTTACCCATAGGTAGATTTGGACTTTCCTGCCCACACTTGGCATCAGGAATGGCATTTGTGGGCTTCCAGGAGATACATGAGGAGGCTGTATAAAGGATGGGAGAATGTTCCCAGCTGGAGAACAGCAGGGTTGCCCCCAGGGGAAAGAGGTATCAAGGCCACAGCAGGCACCTGAGCGACTGTGCCTGGTCTTTGGGCGTGTCTCTGTCCCATTGGCAGGTGGCAGCCCTGTGGGAGGGCAGTCCTGGCTCCTGGAGCCCTGGCCTGATAGCACCCTAACCTCTGTATCTTGCCGCCAAGCTTGAGACCAAGAGAGATGAAGGATCCTAGCAGCTGGATGTCCCCTCCTGATCATGGATCCCCTTCCCACTCTGTCACTAGTTCCTTCAAGACCTGCCTCTAGGTTAGCACTCACGGGAGCCTGGCAGACTGAATCCAGGACTTGCTCTACAAAGTGGCCAAGTGGGCAAGGGAGTGAAGCTTCCTGTCCCCATTGTGTACTCTTAAAGCAGGCATCCTGGTTCTATCCTGCCATGTCACCCTGGAGCAGGAGCCCTGGCTCTGTCCCCAGCATGTCTCAGATATCCCACTAGGAGGTAGGGATGCAGTGTCCCTTGCACTGTTTGCTCCAGGTTCTTGTGGCTGAGGGGCCAGAGTGACAGTGTTATTAAATCTCACAGAGGCTGCCCAGAGATGAGCCAGGCCCTAGGTCAGCTCTCCCTGCAGGGAGGTGGTATAGCCCTTGTGACACTCTGTTTTGGCCCCTTGCTTTTCTCCGTCCTCCTCCTGGACTCCGGTAGAGCAAGAGTGACTGATCCCCCCTCACCCTGTGGGTCCACGCACTATTCACAGTGCAGATCTCTCTGTGGTCTGCTCTCCTCCCTGCCTGCTCCCCCTGAGCTGTTTTGGAAAGCAGCAGCTACTTGATGGTGGGAAGGAAGGCTTGAATGGAAGGCTGTCTTCCCCAGCAGTATGGGTCAGTGACACCAAGCACAAGAAGTGCTGGGCCCATTCTCCCCTTACCCAGTGCCAAGCCCCACATGACCTCCCACTCCACCAGCCTCTTTCCTTCTGTGGGTGAAAGAAAGCTCAGGGCTTTAGCTCCCTTGGCCCTAGCTCTGTCGTGTTCCTGAATGAGTGGGACAGAAATTTTTGTCTCTTTAGGACAGAGGAAGGAGGCTCAGTCCTTCCGCACCCCAAGGTGTTTGCATAGTTGTTACCTCATTGTTTATTTTCTCAACTGTATGTGTGTGCATGTCTGTGACATGAGGGATTGTATCCAGGGCCTCCACACTGAGCTACTAACCCAGGAGTCTGCAACTCTGCTGTCCATGGGTTCCAACATGCGCTGTAAGTAAATGCAGCTGGCCAGTTGGGGCTCATTAGAACTTATGACTTATGAAGTCTAGAACATTAGACTTATGAAGAAGCAGCTGCTGTCAATCAGTCCCAGCGTGGCTAGGAAACTGAGATGCGTACTGTAAAATCTCTTCCTTTGTAAAGTTTGGCAACCAAGTTCTAAATAAGCATTATTATTAGTATTATTATTAATATTATTGTACTGAGGATTGAACCCAGGACCTCATACTGAGTTATCTCCCCAGACCTTTTTTATTTTTTGAGACTGGTTCATGCTAAATTGCCCAGACCAGCCTCAAACTTTTGATCCTTCTGACTCAGTCACTCAAGTAGCTTCGATTAGAGGCCTGTGTCACCACAACTGGCTAATTTTTAAAAAATAGTTTATGAAAGCCAAGCATGAAGGTAGACTTGGTTTCTGATGTCCAGACACAGCAGTCTTTTTCTAGGGGATTTCAAATGCTGGTATATCATGGTCTGATTGTCTTTTACATCTAAGTCTACTTCTCCCACTACCCTTCAATACCAGTGTCAGTTTCATAATAATTTTATTACTGCTTTAAATACTTTCAACATCTATTAAGGCAAAGGTTTTTCCAATTGCATTTTTTTCCCCTTGAGACAGGGTTTCTCTGTCCTTAAACTCACTATGTATCCCAGGCTGGCCATGAACTCACGATCTTCCTGCCTTAGCCTCCCAAATGCTGGGATTGCAGATGTGCACCACCACATCCAATTCCTTGAATTCACAACCCCACACTTGCCAGGCAAGCATTTACACCACTGAGCTAAATCTCTGACCCAATTCCTCTTTTTAAAACTCTACTGTATTTACTGCTTCAAACAAAGTTTTCAATCTGGCAAGTTCCCAAAAATACCCTTTGCAGATCTTGGTTGAGATTGTATTTTGAAGAAACATGTAGACAAAGTTGGTTCCACTGCAGTATTAAGTTTTTCTAATCAGAAAAACAAAACTGATTTCTGACTACCCAAAATATTTAAATACCCTTAGGTAAAGTTCTATGTTTTGAATGTATGTTGCATTAATTTTAGATTTAGTCATTTCCAGCTTTGTGATTCTTTCAAATCATGTGAATTGGACCTTTCTTGTGTGTGTGTGCATGGAGCTAGGATGGAGCCCAGTTTCCCCCACTTGCCGGGCAAGTACTCAGTGCTGAGCTACAATCCAGCTTTGAATGAGGCCTTCATAATCTTTTTTTTAGTAAATTAATGCTGATAGATAGATGGATAGATATATTTTTTCTGTGTAGAAAAGATCCTGAGTGTTTTCTCATTCAAATAGTTTTAAAGATGATTATTTTTGATATTCCAACAAATACTAATAATTTGCTTCCTCCTTTCCAACATTGGAATGTATTATTTTATTGTCTTAACTAATTACATTCACAAAGCACTCCTGAGTTAACCTTATAAAAGAGTGGTGATTAAAAGTTTCCCATTTATGGGGCTGGGGATTTAGCTCAGTGGCATAAGGGCCTGCCTTGCAAGCACGTTGTCATGAGTTTGATCCCTGGTACCTATAAAAAAAAAAAGTTTCCCATTTATATGGGTTTATTCCTATATTTTATTATGTAAGTATGATTTCGGATACTGACTTGAGGTTGAAATGTCTTTTCTAGCATTCCAGCATTTCCAAATGCAGGAGCAAAAACTCCTTTCATTTGTTTTGTTAAAAATTTCAAGTTTTTTGTAGACGAAAATAATACATACTTTTAGCATGCTTTTTTATTTTTGTTAATAAGTACTTTTGAAAATTAAAAAAATTGGAGCTAGAGATATAGTTCACTGGTAGAGAGTATGTTTTGCATGTATGAGGCCTTGAGTTCCACAAGTAGCATCAAAAATTTTTTTTAAAAATTCAAAAGTAAGTAAGAAGCAATGAGTGAATTCAGCCTCCCAACTCTTTTTCCCTCTTCCCTGTCACTCAGAAGGATCGCCAGTGTGATATGTGGTATAGAACTTGTGAAGAATGTTTCATGCATTCAGCTATACAGTTATGTATGGATTTAATAAAAAATGTTTGCTTATGAATATGACTTATAGTCATAGATTTCCAAATTGCAAAGCTGTTCTTGCATTGTGACAATGCATTGGGCAAGCTATCCTTGCATAGTGGGTCCTAATAACATTCTTCTAGATTTTATGTGATTTGTGGGCATGTTATTTAATTTATTTATTTATTTATTTATTTTCCTTTTGAGATAGGGCTTCACAATGTAGTTCAGGCTGGCCTTGAACTCACTTTGTAGTCCTGGCAATCATTCTGCCTCAGCCTCCTGAGTAATGGGATAAGAGGCATGAGCCACCATGCCCAGCATGGGCATGTTATTTTAGAAGACTCTGGCACTTAGGCTTGCAGGTGCATTTGGTTCATTCTAGATGCCACCCACGGAGTCCTGCCATCAGGCTACTATTGACTTTCTCACATAAACCTGGAAGCTTTCATATTTTGTCCTATGCTCAAGATGTTTGAGAGCACAAGTAGTTTTGGCTCTGGATTTTAGGATAGGACATATATATAAATCTTCCTGAACTTAATGGAAGAGGAAAGTTTGTGCAGCCTTAGACAAATCACCCTTCACCTCTCAGACGCAGTGCATGTGCTGAGCTGTAAATGGGGATTGTGGAGCACCTCTGTGCACAGTGAAGAAGAGGAGGTTAAAGAGATAGCCTGTGTCAGGTCTGAAGCTCAGAGGAAATGGTGGAAAGATCCAGATACAGGCCCAGGAGGTGGCAGTGGAAACAGCGAGGCGGGGACCATCTCTGTCAGCGCAGGGGTCTGGGAAGAGCCTCCTCCCTGTAACCCCACCTCTTGTGGGGAGGGTAGTTGGTCCCTTCATGGACCTCACCCCATCTGGTGAGGTTGGCTTTCAGAGCTGGGCTACACCAGGTGTTAGGGGATACTGGGAGACAAGGTAGCAGCCCTTCATGCCTTCCTCTGCTTCCTAAGGCTGCACGCACGGTTCTACGAGCTGGCCCCCAACCTGGTACCCATGGACTACAGGAAGAGCCCCATTGTCCACGTGCCCATGAGCCTGATCATCCAGATGCCGGAGCTCCGGGTACGTGCATACCCTGAAGGTGGGCAGAGAATGGGTATCTGCACTCAGGGTGGGCATCAGCACCCATCTGGGCCACATCTGAGCTCCTCTTTGTGGTTATATTGCACTCAGCAGATATCTGGACCTCTCCACATCAGTGGGACTGGGCTCAGAGTGTGGAGAGGATGTAGTGCCCTAGCACTTTGTTCTTGAGCCTCTGGGCGGCCTGAGCTTGGCACACAGTGGGCTGTCCAAGTGCTGGCCAGCGGGGATGAGGGAGGCTGGCAGGGTGGGTCCAAGCCATGTGGCATCGAAGGGTGTTGTTCAGCACCCAGGGGCTTGAGACTGTAAGCCTGGCATTGGCACTGGCTCTGTGACTCTCATTGTGCATCTGGGTCCAGGTATCCAATCTTTTGGGCCCTGCTTCCACCTCTGTCTCCCTGGGTGTTTTCTTCCTCACGTGGAGGGGACACCTCTACGCTGCTCCAGACTCAGTGAGGCACAGCTGTGAGCACAGAGGCCTTGCATGGCTCCTCACACTGCTAGGCTGTCACCCAGCTGCGTGGGCTTCATCTGGAGTCCCTAGTGACCCAGTTGAGCAGATGTCCTCACTGTTCCCATTTTGCAGAAGGGAAATGAAGGTGCACAGGGTCAGGCCATGCATTTGAGGCCATGCACAACTATTGGCTTTGAGCCTCCTGCCTGACTGGCCCAGTGACAGTGACAGCTGTCCTGTCTTCCTCAGGAGAACCCTTTCAAGGAGAGGATTGTGGAGGCCTTCTCCGAGGATGGTGAGGGGAACCTCACCTTCAACGACTTTGTAGACATGTTCTCCGTGCTGTGCGAGTCAGCGCCCCGGGAGCTGAAGGCCAACTATGCCTTCAAGATCTACGGTGAGGCCTGTATTCAGGACACAGTGTGCAGGGCACAGGGCTGTCCTCTGAGCAGTGGCTGTGTTCAAGTCTGGCCTTCGGGACAAACCACACCTGGGAGACAGTCTTGGTTGGTATGAGGAAGAGAAAAACGTAGTGACATTGGGCTAGGATCTGGGACCTGAGATGTTGTGTTCTCTGAAGACACAAGGTAGCATCCATGGCAGAGGGGATGTCCTTGCAGATTCAGGAAACAAGTTGGTGAGAGCTCAGGGAAGCAGGAGAGGTTGAGGTACGGGGTGGGGAGGACAGTGAGTCTCGAGTGGATTAGGATCAGGCTGTGGGGACCAAGCCAGGCACCAGTCTAGTACTCAGGGGCCTGACACCGTAGGGATCCTGGGAAAGGGAAGCTATGTTATCAAGAGGTCATGCAACACTGGATTGTGGGAGCTAGAAAGGAGGCCTAGTCTATGGAGAAGTCAGGCAGCAAGGAGGCCCAGTCCTCGCCCTACCTCTCACAAGCCACCAGATGGCGATGGCATGCAATGAATCCCCAGCCCGAGGGAGGGATCTTCATACTTGCTCACCCACTGAAGGCCTGTGGGCCTGGTGTGCCCTCTCAGACATGGACACAAGGACTAAAGAGAGCTGGGCCTTCTGGTCCTGGACTACAAGATCCCATGCCCAGCCTCCTGTCCTCAGCACCTTACGCAGCTGTGACCCCAAAGGCAGCAAAACTCATCAGGAGCTGTCTACACTTATTTCTCATGATGTTTATTTGAGAGGATTTTGGCTTAGCTATGTTCACATCATGTTTGTGTCAAAAAGCCAGGACCTGTGTTTCTATCCTTCATAATACAGGTTCTATGGTTCATGCTAAGAACTTCTCAAATTCTATGTATCCCTTGGCCTCAGCCCCTGGGCTGCTTCTGGGAAAGGCTGTTATCTACCTAGGAAGGAAGTACAGTGTATGTCATGCATAACAGGCATAGGAGCCAGTACCTCATCCATCACAGACCCTCCTGTGTGTTCCCACAAAGCAGAGGCAAACTCACTTCATGCCTGTCCCAGAGGCCTTCAGGGCCAGTGCTGGGACGGGCAGGTGGTACTAGGTACCCTCAAGTGCTCAGGCTGTAGGTCCAGCATGGACCAAAAATGTGATCTTGGGCAGGTCCCATCCCTAGAGAAGTTCAATGAAGGACACACAATGCTCATGTAGCACTTAGAGCCTCCACCACCACCATTCATGTCTCTCAGCTCTGCAGGCGGAGGAGCTCAACAAAGGAATCCTTACATCTAGAAAACTCCTCATGGGGTACTGTTTCAGCAGAAACTTGGAAGATGAATAGGCATTTGCTGAAAGGGCACCCAAGGCAGGAGAACTCATGTGTAGAAAAACTCAAGGCAGCTTTAGGCTGAGCATGGTGGGAAAGGTCAGAGCTTGCTATGATGAGCCTAGTACACTGGTGATCTGCTTTGCTGTGCTTGGAATGGTAGTGAGATCTTCAAACTGGTGGAATCAAAGCTGTGCTCTGTATGTGCAAAGCCAGTTGTGTGCCCCTTCTAAGGGACTCCTGCTTCTCCCACCATGACTTTTCTTTTTTTTAAATTGTGGATATGGGGACAAAGGGCTTGGTATCATCTTATTTTTTATTTTCATTTTTTATTTTTTGGTAGCAGGGATCAAACTCAGACTTTTCTTTTTTAAGAGATAGATGAAATTGCTTGCATGTGTTGTGTACAACATGATATATGTGTTAATTAGCTGCAGGTATGTGACTTTAGACCCTCCTTTGCCATGGTACCACTCAGGGAACGTGACTCTTAGTTCAGTAGACCATACAGAGTTCTCATTGCCTCTCTGAATGGCTTAATGGCCTTGACTCAATCACTTGGCTTGCAATCAAGGCCTTTCACTTTAGAAATCCCCTGATGTCTGGCCAGGAGGTCAATGTTCCTAGGATCTCTCAGCTTCAGACTGTGGTTATACACACACTCTTGGGATTTGTGGGTGCAGTGAATACTGAGTTGTCAACTCTGTGTGTGTGTGTGTCAAAGATATGCCATGTGGGTAAACCCCCTTGGTTTGCAGGGCTCCTGGTGTATGCATGAATATGTCCTGAGGGTGCCAGGGACTGGTGCAGAGTCAGTGTGGCCAGCCAGGGACAAGGGTAGCAAAGACAAGACTCCTTGGGGTTTCTGGGGTCCCAGCCCTGCCTCAGCCATCTCCACTGACACTTCCCTTCTGGCCTGTAGACTTCAACACTGACAATTTCATCTGTAAGTCGGACCTGGAACTGACGCTGGCCCGACTCACCAAGTCAGAGCTGGACGAGGATGAGGTGGTGCTGGTGTGCGACAAGGTCATCGAGGAGGCTGACCTGGATGGTGATGGCAAACTGGGCTTTGCTGATTTTGAGGATATGATTGCCAAGGCCCCTGACTTCCTCAGGTACTGCCAGCCTAGGGCTCAGGCAGGGCCAACCAGGATGCTGGAGCGAGAGAGGGCAACCTGTCCCAGGAGACAGCCATGGGCAGGTACCAGACCAGGAAGTCACCTGCAAAGCCCATGCAGGGTCAGACTCTCATGGGAAGGGTACCCTGGAGACCCTTAGTTATCACTGAAGGCTGGAGTTTCCCAGGGGCCGCAATTCCTTGGTCTTCCCTACCTGGGGTGCTTAATGTCCCCTCTATGCAGCTTCCCTAAAGCCAGGCTGGCCAGGGCTGGGTTAGGTCTTCCCAGGTGCTTCTGCCAGCCCTGGGTTGATTCTCACCCACCTCGTCCTTTCTGTCTTTTCAGCACTTTTCACATCCGGATCTGAGGACCCTGTGAGGGCCTGAATGCTCATCATCTTCAGTGCTATCTACAGGGCTGTGGCTCTGGCCACCTAGGAGAGGATCCGAGGCTCTGGGTTTACACCGTCAACAGCAAAAATCAGCCTTAATCAGGGAAGAGGATATGAGGTGGTCCAGCTCCAGGGCCCCTGGTCCCTCCTGTCCCTCTTGGAGTGGAAGACAGGAAACTTAAGGGGAAGAATTGGGATCTCACTTATCTGTGTACTAGGCAGACCCCCCAGTTGCCCGGTAATAAGTAGGGGAAAAAAAGAAGTCAGAGTTTTAATAAGCTATGCAATTTTCCCCCCAAATCCTAGGCTGCACGCTGCCACCCTGCCCCCCTTCCCAAGGCAAAGGGGTTTGGGCAGCTGTCTAAAGGGCTTCATCCTTGTCACTGTCTGGTTTGTGAGCTCCTCCCAGGCCACCTGGCTGGTGTGTGCTAACCACAGATTTGTGAACTCCTGTAGTAAAAACTGTGTCCCACACTCTTTGTGTCTGCTGATGTTTGGAAATGATCTGTGGAGCCTATGTTCCTAGTCACTGTAACCCTCCATGGGCATAGCACCCTGGTGCAGGGTTAAGTGTGGCCTGTCTTCCCCAGGCTCTAGCTTTGGTCTTATCATAATGCCTTAAGGGGAAACACCCCATCTCAATCCTCCAACCCTCAGGAGGTGGGGATTCTCAGGTCACTGCTTTTCAGCAGGCAGAGTTCCATAGTCAGGCTGTCCCGGATGTGCTCCAAGTTAATTGTGCCCAGGGTCAGACAGGAGGGAGACCACCTGTGATCTTCTATCTGGTGTGGTCAGTCCTGACCACTGCCCCCAGTTCTCACCCTTATGGAGGTGGGGAGATGGGGGCAAGTGGGACAAGGGACAAAATAGGAAAGATCCCAAGCAGGAGCAGAAGACCTGAGCCATGCCCAGCAGGAGTCCACAGCTCCATAGAAGCAGGACCACAGGGTGGGGCTGGCCTCAGGTCAGACTGGCTAGAGGCAGAGGGCAGGCAAAATGGCCTGACCATAGAGGGATGGCACCCAGCACTCCTGGCTGGCTGCCGATGCCATTGTCACTATGTTCCAGAGGAACCCCTAATGTGAACAGCCTTTCTAAGGAGCTTTTGCTTAGCGTTATGACCCCAAACCACTACCCCTCCACCAAGAGGCATGGTTTCTCTAACTGTAGCACAAAGGACTGAAACTGGGAGCATCGGGATTTGCCCAACTGTGCCTGGGGCTGGAATCAGGGGAGCCAGAAGGAGCTGTGAGTGGGTAGTGGGACCCTAACTTGTTCTAAGGTCAAGCTGCAGCTTTGAGGCCAGGCCTTGCTGCTATGTCCCTGTGGGACAAAAGAGAGGATACAGCTCCTGCCCCTCTTCCTTGCTGCTTGCTGCCTGGACCCTGAGCCAGGAAGCTGCATAATGTCCCCTGTCCATTAAGAAGGTGTTCGTCCCAGCTCAGGCCTAGCACCTGTCAGTGAACTCCAAGCACCAGTCTTGGCTCTCTCTTCTAAGAAGCAGGATGCTGCTCCTTACGGCTGGTCCTTGTTTCATGGCTTTTTTGTCCTCTGCATGGAGACACCAGGGAGTGGGACGCATAGGCGTAAAGGCTGAGGGAGGTCCCTCTAGGCAGGCACCCAAGCTGCATCTCTGAGCCTGATCCGCAGTGTTTTGTTGGGTTGAAGATTCCAGGATACCTTTGAGGGAGTGGAGGGCTTCAGTGACCAGGGAATCTGGGGCCAGGCCCTCTTCAGTATCTGTGCTTCTTGTCTGCAAAGAAGATCCTCCGGAGCTTGTCAGGCTACAGGAGGGAGAGAGTTGGGGTTAGGGGCCCAGGACATTGATCTGGTGGGGGGCCCATGCCTAGGATACGAGGTAGAGCTAGACTTCCTGGCTACTGTCTCTGCCTCTCCAAGTGCCCAAAACTCTACCTCACACTCCAGTTTAGCAGGAAGGATTCACTTTCACCTGGTTACTGAGGTGTTAGAGAAAAAGAGTGTGAGAAGGAAAAACCTGTAATCCCAGCACTCAGGAGACCGAGGCAAGAGGATCACCGCAAATTCGAAGGCCAGCTTGGACTATGTAGCAAGACCCTGTCTTACAAAGAAACCAACACACATACAAAGAAGAGATAGAAAGTGATGGTGAGCCCCACCTGACCCCCCTGCATGGCGTTGGTTTCCCTTGACTCCAGAACTCTCCAGCATAGCTGGAGACCAGGAGTTTGTACCCAGGAGTTTATGTATGGGACAGGACATGGTGCTGCTGCCAGGGGAAGTGCAGGCCTGGGGTGTGGCTTCTGAGGTCCTTAAAGGACTCTCTCTGGTTGTGGGAAGATTGGACCCTGCAGGCTGTTTTGTGCTAATGTAGGCACAGCCTGACTCAAGCAGGCAGTTAGTGAACTTCCTGCAGAGGCCTCACAACTGGGAAGGTGTCACTTCTTGTTCAGGTGCAGAGGCTTTGAGTGCCCAAGACCACAGCTCTGCCAGTGAGGGTGGCCTCTTAGTGCCATTGTGCCCAGGTTCACGCAGAGTGAGGGGTGGGGTTTTTGCTTCCTAGGAACCCTGGCTAGTTCACCTGGACCTCCCTGTGCCTTCCTGACCCCTGCCTCCTGTCTTCCTTCTTGAAAACCCTCAGAGATAACAAACTTGTTCATGGCTAAGCCCAGAGTGTGAAAGGTTGCCTGGCCCTGTTCCCTGGGCAGCTGCCACAGGACACAATGGGATACCGGCACTTTTCACAGAGAAGGAGGTAGGGTTATGGGGAGGGTCTTCCAAGGAGGCAAATCAGTTTGATTTTCAGACAAACCAAGAACAACTATAGCATTTGAGACATACTACAAAAACTACTTGTTGTTTATCTGAAACTCAAATTTAACTGGATGCCCTGTGTAATTCTGGGAAAGTTGTCATACGTAAAGTTATGAGAATAGTGGGGAACTTAGCCATAATTAAGGTTAAGGGCTCCTCTCCCTTTCTGAGGCTCCAAGACCCTTGCAGAGGCCTAGAGAGAGTGGCCAGGAAGCCCATCTACTGCAGAAAAAGCTGTCAGGCCTCAAAGCCCCACCACTAAGTCTGGCAGCTTCCCAACCCCCACCACACAGATGCTCAGTTGGAAAATCTAGGTATGTCTGGGCAGGGGTGATGACCTAGCCCGCCCATGCCCAAGGTGCTCCCAAGACCAGCAGCACCTTCTGCCCATGGAGCGCACCTTATGTGTCTGTCCAGGCTCCTTGCTCTTGGCTGCTGGGATTTGCTCGTAGATATTGTCTACCTCTGGGGGCCTTGAGATCCTCTCATTGCCACTGTTCATGGGCGGTGACAGTGTACAATACATGGGATTGGCGCCAGGAGCCAGGAGCCTGGCAGGGTCACCCTGGCAGGCTGGGATCTGCTCATAGACCCTATCTTTCTGGTCAGTTGTATTGTGGGCCTCCTGTAGGAGACCTATTGGCCCGACAAGGTCTGAGGCATCAGTAAAGCTGTCCTGGGAGCACAGCAGAGACTCATGACTTAGCTGTAGAAACCCCTGCCTCCGTGTAGCAGAGGATCCCCAGTTTTCAGAGCTGGGAGGCAGGAGTGGCCCCCAGGAGGTGGGAGGCATTTTATGGCCCTGGTCCAGGCTCAGCCCAGAGAAAGCAGGCTCCAGATAATCAGGCCTGTCCTGATGTCCATCCGAGAACCTTTGTGGGGCCTCCCTGTCTGGGGGACAGGCCTGGCCAGACACGGCTGTTCCTAGGCTCAGCCGTGGTTGGCTTGTCTTCTTCAGGTCTGCATAGATGAGGTCACTGGGACTGGCAGGAGACTTATCCAAGAGTGGGGAGCTCCTCTCAGGGAGGGCAGGCATCTTGCTGTGGACCTAGGGAGAAAGAGAGAGAGAGAGAGACCATCTTAAGGGCACCTGCTGCAGCAATATCCTCAGGTCATCTGGGGTCTCTCAGGTTTACACAGCTGTTATAGGCAAGGATGGGAATCATACCAGGATCTTTGCCAGCCCTTGTACTCAGGGACTCTGAGCATGGACCTTACCTTGGTGTTTAAAGACTTGGGCCTCCCAACTTCACCCTGCCCTGCTCTTTTGGCCTTTGTGGTCCATGAGTCCTTGGGGGCCTCTGAACCCCCAACTCAATGCCCAGCCCCTTCCTGCCACCCAGTTCATTGCTTATTGCTTCTTTCAAGTATTTAGGGAGCATTAGCTGTATGGAAGACAGTTTGGGGTGATGAGAACTTTGTGGTGAGCAAGGCCAGCTCTTGGGAGTTTACATGAACTCTGGCTCTATCATATGGTAGAGTAGGATGTGATGCAGCACAAGGTCAGGTGGCATCAGGTCATGGTCAGTGCTTGGAATGGGCCAGAAAGAGTGATGGGGGATGGAGATGTTTTGTGAAGTGTAGGTGGCCTTTCTGAGGAGGGACATGAGGAAAGGCTGAAGGTATCAAGAGTGAGTAGCTAGACATCTAGAGGGAATGGCATGCCAAGCCAAGGGCGCTGCAAACAAAAGACTTGATGTGGGAGAAGCTGGGCGACCTCAGGGAAAACCTGGAAGCCAAAGAGACCTTCAACAAAGACAGGGAGGGAGCAGGACCTGCCAGGGCTCCTGTGATCCTGGGGAAGAGTCTAGATTCTATTCTAAACCAAAGAAGTCTTGACAGATATTGAGGAGGCTCTCTGAGTCCCTCTTGTTGGATGCTGAGGAAGAGAGCACAGTACTGACCTTTGGAACACTCCACTTTATCATTCACTGGGGGTATCCAGGCTTTTCATATCTATTCTCTCATTCATACCTCCAAGAACATTAAGAATAGTAAACTGAGGCTCATAGAGATCGAGTGACTGGCTCAGAGTCACACAACCCAAAAGTGTTCAAGACCAGGCATGACACACATCCAGTGAGCCAGGGGCAGGCATGCCATGAGTGGCTGGCTGCCCTCGCTTCCTGCTGGAGCTGTGTCTCTCTGACCTGCTGCTCACCCTGCAGCTGGAGGGACTGCCAGGCACAACACCTTGAAGCTGACTGGTATGATAACCTTTTCCCCATTCTGGTAACTCTCCCTGGGTGGCTGGAGTCTGTTTACCTTGGTGTTGTCCTCCTTGGCAAGGATCCGGGGACCTGGGGCTAGGCTTTTATCAGTGTGCAGGAAGGAGTCCTGGGCCTTCGCAGGGACATGGGGGCCAGCAGCCTTATCAGGTACAGTGGTGGGGGATGTTGCTGACTGTTTTGTGAGACCCAAGTTGGTCTGGTGGAGGCCCAGGGTGATGGCATCATACACATCATGGTCCTCTGGCTGGCATAGTGGAGAGAGAGCAACTGTGAGGTTACACATTCCTCAGCCTCCAGCAGCCTCCCGGGGATGGCTTCCTGGGTAATGAAATGACCCCATCTGTCCTTTGACTTTAGGTAAGATGTTCTAAGTCCTCTTTTCAAACAGGGACCCTGTCCAACCCTAGTGCCCAGGGGCAGCAGACAATGAAGCCAAAATGGCCTTTGGCAGAACCAAGGATGCCCTGGCCTGGGCCCCCACCCAACTAGAAGATGAGAGGAACCTACCCGGGGGCAGGCAGCAGCCAGCGTCTCCCCAAAGGGTTCCAGCTGTACCTCCTGATAGTGGCGTACCAGCTCAGCCAGGGTGCCATGGCTCAGGTTGTCACCTGAGACTAGGTAACGCCGGTTTCTGAGTTGGTTGATGACAAAATGCCGGCAGCGATCACTGCCCCTGTAACACAAACACACGTGGTCTGGGGGCTGAGCCCTGGGCCAGCCTGAGGAGCAGGAGAGTGCTTTAGCTCTGCACCCAGGACAGACATAGCCGCCTGGGCCCCTCCTCTTTCTGGGAGGCCTGGTATCCCTGGGGAGCTTGGGAGGGTTTCACCCCATGGGGTTCTGGAGCCTGGGAAGGATCTGAGCTTACTTTGGTAGAATCAAGAGGAGAGACGGTGGACCAGACTGGTGAGAGCCTCACCTTCAGAACTGCTCAGTCCTTGTATTTAGAAGACCAAAATGAATACCAGAAAACCATCATGAGCAAAATCTCATAGTTTTAAACAAAGACGAGATCTGACTCTGTGTCTTCACAACTCAGCTTCATTCTAACCCCCACCCTGCTGAAACAGTGGGATTCCACCCCCACCTTCACCCTCTGTATCATCTTTTGTGTGGGAGAATAACTGGCACTTGGAGAGGCACAAACATCAGAAGTGTGCAGCCTGCCTAATCCCATGCCTGAGCGCTCCTTGATGCAAACCCTTCCAGTTGCGAGGACCCATCTCAGTCCAGCATGGAGCTGCCACCTGGCCTTACCACCTTGATTAATTTTAGCCTTCATAGAACTTCATGTAAATGAAATGCTACCTAATTTTGTATCTAGCTTCTCTCAGCCAGTCTGAAAACTGATGTTCATGTAGAACATTACAGAAACACTAGTTTCTGTACAAAATTCTGTACAAAACATTAGTTTCTGAAACAAAACAGAAACATTAGTTTCTGTTTTCTTCTGACATATGTGCAGTATTTCATTTAATGAAAAAAATCTACAGTCTACACATTCTGTAGATAGGCATTCACAAACATAGCTGCTGTGTTTTTGGTTGAATATATAGACTCATTTCTGTTCAGACCATACCAAGGAGTAGAACTGATAAGTCAGAGGCAGTTTAGCTGGAATAGTCTGGACCAAATCATTTCCTAAAATTGTTATAATGTGTGAATCCTCCATTATTCCACAGGCTTACCAACTGTGGTAATATCTGTTTTTCCATTTTAGCCATTTATGGTTTTTTGGTTTTTTGGTGCTATTGGGGATTGAACCTATGGCCTTCACACTTAGCTCACTTTCCAGCCCTTCTTAATTTTTTATTTTGAGACAGAGTCTTGCTAAGTCATCCAGATTTGTCTTGAAGTTGAAATTCTCCTACCTCAGCCTCCTAAAGTTTTTGGGATTATGGGGGTAAATTACCGGGCGGGCCTGGCTCATTGTGCTTTCAATTTTTATTTCCCACTGTTTAATATTTGAATATTTCTATTTGGTGAAGTGCTGCTTCAAATCTTCTGCTTTTATTTGGTTTGTCTTTTTTTTTTCTTACCTGTAGGAGTCCGTCATATATTCTGGATATGAGTTCTTTGTTAGATACATGAATTGTAATATATAACTTCTGTGTTTTTTTTTTTTGTACCAGGAATTGAACTCAGGACCAAGCAGGCACTGTGTCACTGAGCTATATCCTCAGTCCCTCAATCCTTGTAATATATAACTTCTTTAAGACTCTGCCTTAACTTTTCCTTCCCTTTATGTCATCTTTTTTATTATCAAAAATTATTTCAAGGAAATCAAATGTATTTTAAGAAATCTTTATCCTGTTCTCATAGGCATTTTCATTTGCTTATGAAAATGTTTCCCTCTTCTAGAAATGTTATTGCTTTGCTTTTTGTCTCTTGGATCAGTAATCTTTCTAGAATTAATTTGTGGAGGCTGGAGGTGTAGCTCAGTGGTAGAACATTTGCCTAGAACTAATTTGTGTACATGGTGTGAGCAGTGGCCTTTTATTTCCATTTGGATATCCAGTTACTGCCAGACCCATGACTGAAAAGACGGGAAGCATGGTGGTCACCCTGCTGTTTATCCAGGAACAGATGTGTTGGATTCTTTCTAGGCTCCCTTCTCTTTCGTGTCTCTCTTTCTTTGAGCAGCCCCATTCTGATCGCTTTTGCAAGTTACATAAGATCATAGAGGGGGGAAATACCAACAGAGAAACAACAAAAACAAAACAACAAAACACACACAAATTCCAATGCTGAAAAGGTATTTGAAAACTGCCAAATTACTATATTCAAAGTACCTAGCATTGTGTCTGGCTAATCAAAAAGAAGTAACTATTTGTACAATGATTGACATTTACATTTAAAGTATTCTAATCTAATCTCTGTGATGATTCTGAATTAGAATCTAAATTTTTTTTTTTGTACCAGGGATTGAACTCATGACCTTGGACTTGCCAAGCAGGCAATTATGTCTGCGGAGCTAAATCCCCAGCCCTTCAGAATCTAAACTTTTCACCCTAGAGTCTGTCTGGCCTAGGGCCACCTGGGCCCTTTGGCTTCCTGATTCAGTTACTCCTGGACCAGGATCCACATTTCTGTCTCTGCTGGCCTCTTGTCCCTCTGTGTCCCTGATATCCTATCTAGCCTCAGCCTCTCACATCTAGCCTATGGCACTGGTCCCCTCCATCCCTTGATCTCCAGACCTCCCTCCCCAGGATGCCTGAAAGGACCTGGTGAGACATAAGTGTGATCGAATTGACCCTCATCATTTGTGACCTTTGCCAGCATCCAGGCTGCCTTCCCTTCTCTTCAGGTGTTGCACTGGGGGAAGGAACCCTGCATTTTACTGTACCTAGGGACTTGTGGCTCCCTGTACCCTGCCCCTTAGGCCTCTGTACTTGTGCACATAAGGTTCATCTACTCTCACCCCTGCTATCTCCTCCTTGCTTCTAGCAAACTGCTCCTCTTCCTTGGCCCTAGGGCTCCAAACTCACCTGCTGGGCCTCATCCTCTGGGCCCCCATGCACTCCATGAGGGGCTCAACTTTGACCTTGCACATGGAAGGTGACCTGTCATGCAGGTGGCCATACAGAAGGGAGTGGAGAGTGGCACCCAGGGACAGTCCTGCTTGGGTTGTACTCTCTTACCTGTAGGATAGGATGTAGCCAGCGGCCCGGTTGCTGAGGCGAATGAGGAAACATCCAAGAGCTTTGTCACACAGCAGTTGCTCCGTCTGCCTGGGGAGGGAATGTGCTGTTAGCTGAGACCTGGGCCCCACCATAGGCAGGCACCAAGCTCACACCCCACAATGTGCCCTCAGCCCAGCTTAGCATTGATAGCCCATCAACCCTGACAGAGCCCCCTTCCCCCATCCTGATAGGGTCTGTGGCATCTCATGGTTTAGTCTGTGTCCTCTGGGCCCCTCTCAGGTCTGGCTACTCTAGGCTACCCCCCCCCCCAATCCTGGTGAGCAAAGGCGCAGATGTATAACCTAGTAGCTGCAGCCTCTGTATCTGCACCTGGCTCATTTGCCTGGGCTGTGCCCTTCCTGTGCCACAGCCCATAGGAGCCCATTGTCACCTCAGAGTTAACAGCTGAGTCTTCTTGATGCTTTGGATGGGTACCTGGGCTGGCTGGGGGTCTCTGGTGGGGACACAGCAGCAGCCCAGGCTTATTGAAGCAAATTCAAGACCTCATCTGGGTAGACTGGGGGCTCTGAGGCCACAGGAACCTCACTGCTCCCCAATTGCATCTCACCAGCAGGCACCTGGGCAGACTCCAGCCCCCACTTTATACCCAATGGCTATGGAACAAGAATGAATTTACACGCCGGCAGTTTTTTTTAGGTTGGGGATACCCCTTCCCAGGGACCCTTGTGCAACTATGGATATTTCTAGCTGATGCAAAGAATTCTGGAGTCATGGTGGGAAATTCCAGCTGTCTTCTGGCTGGGTAGGGCCAGATACTCCCTCACTGAGTGCTGAACCCAGTGCTCCCTCTACTCAGGATCAAAGTGTCATTTGCAGGGCTGATGCCCAATGAACACGTGGCCCTTTGCTAAAAAAATTATCCATAATTTCCAGGTTGGAATAGCAGAGTGTGAACCAGGTGTGGGTCCCACCTGAGCACAGTCCCCGAGGTGCCACGCATTGCTGTCCATAGAGTTGGCCCTGGCTCTGTGCCTGTGTGGTGCTGGGCCCTCATTTTTCCTCTAGTGTCTTGGCAGGTAGGAAGCTGAACCAGCCAGAAAGCAAACCCTACAGCTTGGCCCTTCCTGGGGCAAGCAAACACCCATATATTCTGGGACAGCTCTTAGCCCAGTTTCTGTTTTCTTTCCTCCTCCTCCTCCTCCTCCTCCTCTTCCTCCTCTCCTCCTCCTGCTCCTTCTTTGTGTGTGTGTGTGTGTGTGTGTGTGTGTGTGTGTGGCATACCAAGAATCAAACTGAGGACCTTAAGCTTGCCAGGCAGGCACTTGTGTCACTGAGTTACATCCCTAGCCCATCTGAGCCCAGTTTCAAGCAGTGTCCCACTCACTGGGTGATGAATGATGTGACCCCTCATTGTTCATTAGCGTTTTCAAAGCTGGTCTGAACACCCCCACCCATTCTCTTTCTGTTTGTAAACATCCTGGCAGCCTAGCTACTCTGGCCTGCACGGGGCAGGTACTAGCCCCACCCTGCCCAAAGGAGTTGCCCCCCCAAGGACACAGCACCCTCCATCTGCTCCCTAACCCACCACCTCTCCCAGCCCATCTATCATAGAAAAAGGACAGGACCAGCCATCTTGGAGTCCCCAACCAGGCTCTCAGTGCTGTCCCCGCCACCCCCCACTGGCTGTGGGCCATGCTGGTCCTGGGGACAGCAGCCTTACTTGCGGGTGACGAATCCATGAAACCAAGGGGGCAGGGCCCCGTTCTGCAGGATGGAGGGGGCCTGTGTTTCCATGAACCACTTCAGGGCCAGGTCCTGGAGTTTAGCAAGGGCCTGTCCATCCCCAGGCCCCTGCCCTGGGCAAGGCTGCTCCAGGCTGTCCTCCATCCTGGTGAGCACAGATGCAGAAGCATAGCTCAGCAGCTGTCGCCTCTATATCCGCACTCCAGCTCATTTGCCTGGGCTGTGCCCTCCCCATGCACAGCCGTTCGAGCCCATTGTCACTTCAGGGCTGGCAGCTGAGTCTTCCTGATGCTTTGGGTGGGGACCTGGGCTGGCTGGAGTCCTTAGTGGGGACATGGCAGCAACCCAACATGGGAGGAGGCCACCTTGGTTTCCCAGCCAGCAGCTGAGCTGCTTTAAAGGGTCTGGCTTCCCCCACAACCAAAGCCAGGCTGTGGTTACAGTCCATAGCACTGTGCCTGCTACCAAAGCATAGGTATGAACTCCATGCATTCCCTGCTCAGAGGCATTTCAGTGGGGAGTTCTGAGCTGGTTAATTCCTCCTTCCACTTGAGCCCCACTGAGGCCAACTTAGGCCATGTAAATCTGGGTACACAAAGCATGATGTCACTACCTCAGCTATTGTGACAAATCCATTCTCCACACAGTTTATTTTCACTTTCCTTGCATGTATTTTATCTTGTACTCTTGCAACAATTTATTCTAAGCTGTCTATATGCTTCATCAGATTCCCAAGAGGTTCATAGCACAGAAAAGGCTGAGGATGTAGAGTCCAGCCCAGAGTTGGTCTGATGCCAAAGTGAGGCCTGGAAGTATTCAAATACAAAGAAATGTGCCTCTGCGATTTTCCGTGACACATTATCTCTCTACCTCTCTTAGCTTGGGTGTTTATGGGCAGAACCTGGTCTTTTTCCTAAGAATATAAAGGTTTTGTTTACAGAACAGGGCAGAGCCCAGGCTGGCTGTGGAGATTCTGAAATCAGGCAAATGAGGAGTCTATATTTATACACAAGGAAAGTGGAGGCCTGGAGAGGAGTAGGGCTCAGGCTGGGGAACTGGGTGGGCTCTGTGAGAACCTGGGATTGGGTAGGAAAAGATCGTCCTGGACAGTACTCTGCATCCCATAAGTTCAGTTCCTTGCCCTTGATCACCCAGTGAGTGCTGGCACTGGGAATAGAGAAGGTGCTGGAGTATTCCTGCCCTCTGCCTCCACCTCCAACCCCCAAGGTGTGGGGACAGGGAGTGACCTCAGGCTCTGCAGTCAGGTTGAAAGGACTAGGGCCCTCTCCATTTGTCAGCTCTACTTCCTCCTCCTCTTCTTTTTTTCTGTTTTTCTTTCTCTTTTCTTTCTTTCTTTCTTTTTTTTTTTTTTTTTGGTACCTGGGGTTGAACTCATGACCTCATGCTTGGCAGGTGCTTATGCTGCTGAGCTAAATGCCCAGCCTCTTTCTGTTTTTGTTTTTGTTTTTATTTGTACTGGGGATTGAACTCATAAGCTTGTGCTTGCCAGGCAGGCACTATGCTGCTGAGCTATATCCCTGTTCTGTTCTGTTCTGTTCTGTTCTTGAGACAGGTTCTTATCATGTAGCTCAGGCTAGCCTCAAACTTGGAGAAAATAGACATAAAGCTTTTGTAAATAAGGAGAGTATGAGGGGATAGAAGGGAAGGTAAGGAACTGGGGGGGGGAAACATCAAGTTATAGCATATACAGGTACAAAATCCCTATGATGAATGTAATCATTATGTATACGTAAAATGTAATGATAAGAATAATTTGTTTTGAAAAACAAACACAAACTTGTGGAGATCCTCTTACCTTGGAACCCTGAGTTCTGGTATTACAGGTAAGTGAGACAATAGCCAGCCTACTTGATCTTTCTTTCTTTCTTTCTTTCTTTTTTTTTAATGTGTCATAGTTTATTTCACAAATAGAATTTTACAAAGGATACCTATAAATACCAGATGAAGAGAGGAACAGGGTAAGATATAGGAAAGGAATGGTGCTTCCAGAGGGTCTGCAAGCTTTGTCTTTTTAAGTTCCTATGGCAGCAACATCACATTGGCCTGACTGATTATATCACTGGTCAGTGTCATCCATTTAACCTTCAGATCTTCTTCATTCTCAAGAAGTTAGGTGTGGCTGAAAATTCTCTACTTCTCCTTTTTTGAGCCTATGCAATGGTGACTATGCACAGGCCCTGGTGCTGTGGGTAGCCAGGTCCTGGGAGGAATGCCTGTGAAGGCTCCTCAGTAAATGCCCATCCTATGCTTTTCATGGTTACAGACATGACATTCCCATAGGCTTTGTGGACAAGACTTTCTTCCACGAAAAGGGAGTAGAGAATGAACAATCTAGTTTTGTCTTGTGCCTAGAACAGTGCTTGACACAAGTAGAGTTTGAAATTGTCATTCCCGGGGCTGGGGATTTAGCTCAGCGGCATAAGCACCTGCCTTGCAAGCAGGAGGTTGTGAGTTCGATCCTTGGTAGTGATAAAAATGAAAAAGACAAAAAAAAAATAAAATAAAATAAAAAGAAATTGTCATTCCCTTAGATGACATATCCACATGATTTTTAAAAATATAAAATGTAGGCTAGACGGAGTAGTGCACACTTGTAATCCCAGCACATGGGAGGCTGAGGCATGAGGATTGCTGTGAGTTTGAGGCCAGCCTGGGCAGTGAGTTCAAGGCCAGCGAGAACTGCACAGTGAAACCCTGTCTCAAAAAGACAATAAATAAATCAATAAATGTCATAAAATGTATTAATATTTTCTAAGCATTAAGCCCATAGATCTAATTTTGATTTCATTTCATCTCCACTCATACTTGTTCCTTGAATGTTCAAATAAATATCTGTATTCCTATTTTCCTTGTCTTGCTTTTTTTTTTGAAACAAATCTCACTCTATCACCCAGTCTGGCCCCAAACTCCCACATTCAAGTGATCCTCCTGCCTCAGCCTCCCTTCCAAGTAGCTCAAATCAGAGGTGCTCTGTGCTGGCTCCCCAACCCACGCACATAAAAGGTAAAGTACTGAACAGTGTTCTACACTTCCCCTTGTAAAATTAACATGTCTCAGATTTCCTTGCACAAAAATACAAAGAAAGTGCCATTTTTAGGTTTATAGATGCATAGATCCTACTGCTTGGATACATTATCATTTTTGTAACCAGTCCTCCATTGATGATTTTTGGGTTGTTTCTAGTCTTCTTTATTCCCCAAAATGTGTTGACTGACAATTTTGTACAGAACTAGATAAACCAGAGTAATCAGATTTACTCTAAGCTTCCCAGAGATGGGATCACTGATCCAAAGGGAATTTGCATCCATCACTCTGACGGAGATTACCCAATGGTGCTCTTTCTGCATTTTATTGACTTGTGTGCAGTGAATATTGAATGAATCCACAATATTCACTAATATTTTAAAACTCAGTCATATTGGGGGTCTATAGTATATTAAAACAAGGGAGGAGGGTGGTGCTAGTTCAGAAAAATTGCCAATTTTATTGTGACTAAGCTGTCCCCTTGAGGCCACTCAGTGAAATCATCTTGTCATTTTTAAGTATGTGCCAGCAGGAAGGGGTATCCAGAGATGTCCTTCTTGGCTGTCTGCCCAGAAAACACAGATTGTGGGTTTTATTCACAAGACAACAGCCGAGTGCTGGGAACTTTCCAAGGACCCCTTGAAATATCCGAGGCCTTGGGAAAACAACAGCAATGACACTGTTGTTCCCAAACACAAGTCACAAATGAAATGTTCATGCAGCATCTGCCTCACTTGATTGCCTCCCATGTTAAAACTGCAGAGGCTGGGTGATCTCACATCACAGGCATCCTCAGATGCCGGGAGGCTGCCAAGGGATTGTCTCTAGTGGTAAATTCAGTGAATTCCTCAAAGCAAAGCCACTCCCAAAGCAAAACCAGAGAAACAGCCCTTTCAAAAAAGTTTAAAGCAGAAAGAAAAATACATATTTTTAATTGAAGATGTCCCCCTGTTGCTTAAAAATATGTAGAGGGAGAGTCTGCCTTCATATCCCAGGCTTCATCAACAGCTGATCTCACTAATCATAGATTGAAAATACAAAGGAAGAAATTGTGTCCGCAGTGAACATTTATAGACTTATTTGTGGTCATTAGTTCATAAGTAATATCACAATTGTTGACATAGAATGAACAGAAAGGTAGGTATTACAAATGGTTTAGGTATGTAGAAGGATGTGGGCAGGTTGCACACAAACATGGTACTTTTTTTTTTTTTTATGGTACATTTCACTAAAGGGATTTGAGAACTTTCAGAGTCAGATACCTGAAGGGGCCTGGGAACCCCTGCCCTAGGGGTATTGAGGGACACCTGGATTGATGTACAATAAATGGGGACTCAACGGTAAAGGGGCCTAGGGTATGTGTTAATACTGCCAGCACCACTGCCCTACTCAGTGTTCATCTTGGGTGTCCTGGGCCTATACCTCCCAAGGACACCCAGGCCTCTACCCCATCAAGGGACTAGGAGCTTAGCCAGCACCTTGGATGCCTGCCCTCTTGGAAAAAGAACCATCAGCCATCAGATTTGCCTAGTGATTTGGCAGGGAAATGAGGCCCACTCGTAGCCAGAGCTCATGACTGGAGGCCCTGAGACTGGTGAGGCTCTTTCCTGTGGAGTTCCTTTCCCTCCTGGACCTCCCACAGCAGTGACAAGGCCCTGTGCCCACATGAACTCTCAGCATCTCTTGGTACCACAGGCAGGCATGGAGGTTTATGGAGTGATCAGTTGCATGTGGAGATTCCACAGTGTCCAGGGCCAGGCCAAGGGTTGGCTTCATCTGCTTGCGAGAACCCGCAGCAGTGCCAGATGGTATTGTTATACCCCATCTGTGGATGAGGAAGCTGGTACCCCTGATTCTCCCCAGCACCCCAGGATGTAGGCTGCAAGTGGCCTTGCACAGCCATGCCGGTAGCTCAGGAAGCCTGCTTCCTAGTCAGGGCTCCCAGGGTCAAAGCATTTCTGCTTCAAGGGCCACCTTGTCTCTCCCAGTTCCTCCACCTTCTTGGGACTATCAGGATTCTTTCTTTATATGTGCCCTGGGCTCCATGTCCCCCTAACCCACCAGCAGGGCCATCCTTGCCTCTCTGCCTTGGAGACAGTAGACTCCATCTGTGCCTTGGTGGTGCTGGTGATGGTGAGGGTGATGGGTCCCCAGCAGGGCTCAGGGAGGAAGCGAATATGTTACCCGTAGAAGCAGTGCTTTGACTAACTACAGTGGGCAGCGGAGCTCATGGATGGAGTAGAGCCCCGAGGAGAAGGGAAATTTGCTTGTGACATCTGGGAATATTAAGAGGGCTCAGAGCATGAAGACATGAAGGGTGGAGCCTCTGTTAGCTTGGGGAGCTGAGGAAGGATGACTGGGGTCCTCACAGTTAGGGTTTGCAACACTGTTACATTCAGAGCAAGCAGGGTGGGGGCTCTGGAGATCACATAGCCATCCAGCCCCTTGTACAGGTGGGAAACTGGGGCCCAGAGAGAGTGGAAAGGCACCCAAAGTCACATAGCATTCATATGACTGTAGTTGTTTTTTTCTCTAGGCTCCCTGCAGAACTTAAGGTTCACATCTTGGTGGCCCTGTGTCCCTGGGGTCTAGCAGATGCAGAAGGAACCTTTCGCCTGGGTGCTTCTTCTTAGCCTTTGCCTGCACCCTACACTCTGAGGAAATGGTCTAGGATGAGTCAGGCACTGGCCCTGTTTTCTCCAGGAGTTTGCCCAGAGGCTGGCCATGTGGGAGCAAGTTCACTGCCCCGATTTTCCTTTTTCAGTGGGCAGCTGCAACTTCTTCCAGGGTCAGCCACTTCCCTCTGATCACTAGATTCCTAGGAGGCTGGAGGGGGCAGGGGCTCATGTGGTATACAAGGCAGGTACTTTGGTCAAAGGCCTGTCTCAGATATACAGGCCGCAGGAAGCCGGTACCTGGCCACAGGATGTCAGTGTTTAATCTCGGGACTGCAATGTCTACTGGCCATTGTGTACTATGGTTTCAGTGTTTCCTCCTAATCCCAAGTCCTATTATAGTGTTCAGAGGCAGGGCCTTGGGAGCTAATTAGGAAATTAACTGAGGCTATAAATGGCCTTCATCTGCTGGATTGCAGCTTTCTAGGGGGAGGAGGAGAGACATGAGCTGAGATTCTTTGTTTGGCCACACAATGCCCTGGTTGAATGATCTTGAACTTCAGAACTGCACGCCTAATAAAGTTTTATTCTCTAGAAATTACCTAGCTTATGGCATTCAGTTACAGCAACAGCAGAAGACTTAAAACATCACTTAAGGTCTCCAAGGAATGAGGAGCCCTCAGAGATAGCTCCCTCTATATGAAAGGATGCCTTCCTCATGTCCAGCAGCCTCTGCCTCCATGTGACACCCACAGGCCTTGGTTCTGTGCTCTGGGACCCCAGGCCATTCCCATTCCCTTCTCACAACTCACCAGTAGAGCTAGAATGGGCCTGCTGCTGCTGGTGGCCTCTCCCCCTTTGCATGCTGCTTCTCAGCTTCTCCTTTTTGGTGCATTTCAAAGGCGCACTCCAACTTAACTGCTAACCCATAGGTCAAAGAATCATGCCCCTGTTACCATGAAGAGAGTGCAAGAGAGCAAAGTGGCAGCATCTTTGCTGTGGGTGCCCCAGGACAGGGGCCCTAGGGACAGTCAGATGCAGGTCGCTGGTGGGCATGGTGAAATCCTCCACATGTTTTTCTCACCTGCCTGGCCAAAAACAGGCAGTCTCATTGGTGTCTTTATCTACCTTGGAAAGCTGGGTTTTTGCCTGTGCCTTCTAGAGCATGTGTCAAATATGTAGAACCAGGAAGGGGAGTGAAGTATTTGCTTGATTTGGCCTTCTCACCAATGCAGCTACCAGCTTCCTTTTCTTTGGCTAAGGTGGAATCTGGCACCACTGTTCCCTTTGTCTGGAATGCTGTCCTTCCCTCCATGGCTGGTCACAGTGGTTCACGGCGTGTGCTTGGACCTGCTCTCAGAGTCACCTAGAGATACGGCTCCCTCTTCTCTGTTTTATTACCTGGTATCAGCATTTGCCTCTGACGTTGTTAGAAGGTTGTCTAGGTGAACACAGAAAACACAGTGGTAAGCGCTAGTTAGGTAGTGATCCTTATTTAAATAGCATCACAGCATTTAAGCAACGTGGCAATATTTACTTATTTTTTATCACTTCACTCCTTTACTAAACACAATCCCCCAAGGGCAGTGACATGACTGACTGCCACCCTTCATCTGCTGGTGCTTGGAACCCTACCTGGCACACAAGAAAGCGCTCTATGAATATTTGTTTAATTCCAGGAAGGACTGAGAAGTGGAGAGGCTGGCGGACTGCTTCGATTTTCATTCATGAACTCCACAAGTATTTACCGAGCTCCCACTCAGCACCAGGCAACAGGCCCTCTGGGCTTCACAATGTTGGCCTGTGCCTCTGGCAGGGCGGAGACTAACGCGTTTTCCATGGAGGAATCATTCAGCGTGCAGCTTCGCGCGGTCACTTGGTGGGCTGTGGGTCACTCATCCTCCTGCGGGACACGTGCTCGCGGGGCGAAACAGAAACCTGTCTTGGCGAACTACCAGCCTCCCGGAGAGGCGGGGAGGTGGGCCAGGGGCGGGGGCGGGGAGGCGGGCGAGAGTCCGTCGCGGGGGCGGGGCGGAGGTGGGACTACAGGTCCCAGGCTGCCCCGCGCGGCGGTGCGTTGGGAGCTGCGAGCTGCGGCTGGCGGGCGGGAGGGCGATGCCGGGTGCCGGAGCCCGTGCTGAGGAGGGCGGTGGCGCTGGCGGCGGCGAGGGCGCGGCGGGGCCGGCGCGGTTGTGCGGCTACCTGCAGAAGCTGTCGGGCAAAGGCCCGCTGCGCGGCTACCGCAGCCGCTGGTTTGTGTTTGACGCGCGCCGCTGCCACCTCTACTACTTCAAGACCCCACAGGACGCGCTCCCGCTGGGCCGCCTGGATATCGCCGACGCCTGCTTCTGCTACCCGGGTGCCGACGAGGCCGCAGAACCTGGCGCGGAGCTGCCCGCGCACTTCCAGGTGCACAGCGCGGGCGCCGTTGCAGTGCTGAAGGTAGGCTGCCCCCTGCGCCGCACGGACGGTCCCCTCGCCCCCGCGCCACATAGTTGGTTCCCAGGGCCCCTAGTGCGGGAGTCCCCCCGCCGGCGCCCACGCCCCGTCGCTGCACCCCTCTGCCGCACATCCCGCGTTTTGAGGTCCCTCGTCCCAGGTCTGACCCCAGCCTCACGATTTACGTCTGCTAACCTCACCCAGGGCCTGGTCCCCACCACCCGACTCGGGCCCCTAGGTCAGTACCCACGCCCCAGTCCTGCAGCCCGTACCCACGTCCCGCGTCCCGCGCGCCTGTGCTCAATCCCCACGGCCTCTCGCCCTGCGGTTGGTCACACCCCAGCACAGTTCCCTTGCCTCCTTGGACGCCCCACACCTCTTCCATCTTACCCCAGTTGGGCCCACCTCCATGCACTCTTACTTCCCCTTGCCCTTTCCCTGACCTTGGCCAGCGGGGCTGGGGGCTGTTCCTTCGGGCCTCAATCGTTGACTTTACTCCCCCCGCCCCTGCGCCCGGGTGCCCTGTCGTGTCCCCACCCCTCCATCCCTCAGATGTTAGTGGCAATCCTCCCAGAGCTGAAAGCTTCCTTTCGAAGGGCCACTTTTCTGAGTGGAGCTTGGTATGTCCTTTAACATTTCTGTACTTGAGCTGCCTCTCCTGGAAAGCTTCGCGGGAGTGTTGGATGAAATGATTCACTCTTTGCCCGTGGTCCTGGCCTAGCCTGGGCAATTAAGCAGTGTAGTAGACCTAAGGGTGGGGTGGGCTGGAGATGTAGCTCAGGTGAAAGCCCTGCGTCAGTCCCCAGAATCACACAAAGGTTTTCTGAACTGGTCTGTAAATGTTAGTGGACTTAGTCAGATGGCTGAGACCCTGAGATGAACTCCGCCCTTCTCTCTGGATGGGTGGAGGGGGTTGTGCTCCTGCTTTCTTGCCTCATTTGCACCTGGAGAGGTGGGAATGTTGCTTGGTAGTCCTGCCTTGTTGACTGGAGGCCTTGGTCCCCTAGCAGAAGTGTGTAGAGACATGTGGTAGAGTGGGTCCTGGAGCTGACAGCCAGCCCTAATCTAAAGGAATCGGATGGAGGCTTTCTTATCCTTTTTTTTTTTTTTTTTTTTTTTGGTCTTTTTGAGACAGGATTTCACTAAGCAGTTCATCCTGGTCTTGAGCTCATTTTGTAGCCCAGGCTGGTCTCAGAATTGTAACAATCTTTCTGCAGGGATGCACCACCATGCCCAGCCTTTTTGTTTTTCTTTGTTTTGGGGGGCCTCTGTCATCTTTTAAGCTCAGAGCACCCAGAGGGACCCTTGCTCACTGTCTGGTTCTTTGAGTCCCCTCTCTCAGGCTTCTTTCTAATTGCTCTTCCCTATTGCATTTGGGTGTTGCTCCAAAGCAGCAGGGCTGGGCTCTCTCAATGCTGGCTGGTGGAGAGCAGAGTGGACAAGTGCCCAGGCCTTGCGACCACAGGCCTGTTCCCGGATCCCTCCAGAGCCTGGCCAGCTGGAGCTGCTCCCAAGTCATTCTTAGAGCTTTGTGGATTCCACTTTGCCAATTGGCACAGGACCAGACTCCCATGGTCTCTAAGTGGGTGCAGGTGATCTGTTTCTGCAGAGGAAACCGAGGCACATTGCAGTTCAGTTTGAGGTTACTTAGCATCTGCACAGATTCAAGAGTGGCTGCACTAGTTCATGGTAACTTTCAGAGAGAGGCTTGTTCTCAGAGTACCTGAAGATCATCTTATGTCAGATGAATTTCCGGTGGAATTGTTTGTTTAAAAAAATGTGGAGCATCCTGTTTCAGGTTTTCATATGATTTTAGAGCCCTCCTCTATCATTCTTTTTTCTTTCTTTCTTGGCAGTACAGTACAGGGTGTTGAATCTAAGGCCTTTGTACTGAGCTGCATCCATACCTCCACAATCCCCCCCCACCCTTAAAAACATTTGAGACTGGGTTTTGCTAAATTCCTCAGTCTGGGCTTGAATTTGTGATCCTCCTACCTCTAGGAGGGCTAGGATTACTGGTGTGTGCACAGATAGTTCTGTCTTTTTCTTTGAGACAGGGTCTCACCATGCAGTGTATCAGTGGGACCACAAAGCTTACAATTAACAGTGAGGCTTCAGGCTTGGATTTGTAGCCTCAGGCTGCTGTTCACAGGTGCTGGACAAGTTTTATACCTCTCTATCCTGTTTCTACTTTGGTCTAGTGGGAGTTTTGTTCTCCTCAGGTGGTTTTGAGGATTCCTGAAAATGGCTGGTACAAAGGTGAGTACTACGTGGCAGCCATATGAAAGATCAGACAGTGTTTTAGGCTAAATCTGTGGCATATTCTTAGTATTCTTATAACAGAATGTTATGCAGTAGTGAACAGAAACAATCTCGAGTGGTGGGTGTCCGTTTGGGTGATTGTCACAAACATAAAGTTGAGCAAGAAATAAAAAATCACACAGTGATACCTTTTATATGAAGATTAAGAAGACTGAGTGAATCAGTATTATAGATTGTAGGAGTGCAGTATATGCTGCATCAGGAGAGGGAGAGCCATGTGGAGTGTGAATTTGGGGTAGTAGTTAACTCTGATGGGAGGAGAGGGAGTATGGCTGTGGAGAAATGTTACTTCTCAGACTGGGTGATTGATCAGTGCGTTAAAGTCAGCATATTTTTTTCCTGTCCAACTTTTCATATGCTCAGACTGGCTTTTTTTTTTTTTTTTTAAAGGAACTACATTTTAATATGGGTTATTTGCTTACTTGAAATTCTTTCATGAAATTCACTGACTTCATGAATATTCATGTATATATAACATTTGTCACAGAACAAGACACAAGACTTGAGGCCAAGTGTTGGCTTCTTAAAAGCGATGGAAACAGCCAAAGTTTTCCAGAAAGGAACAGTTGAGACAGAGGTTTTAGAGTCAGTGTATTTTAAGAAAGGAGAACTCTCCACAGTAATTCCTGTTGAACTGTAGAGTAACAATTTTATGGTGTTGAAACTGAAAAATAGTAATTCATCATTCTTTTCACATGGACTAATCCAAGAACTGATTTCTTTCTTTTCTTTCTTTTTTTGTCTTTTTGGACAAGGTCTCACTGTACAGTTCAGGCTGGCCTTGGGCTCACTTTGTAGCCCAGGTTGGTCTTAAATTTGCAAGGGACCTCCTGCCTCAGCTTCTCAAATGCTGGGATTACAGGAGTGCACCACCATGCCTGGCAAGAATTGATTTCTTTAGGCAGTAATGCAACTGTATAGGCTTAAGGCTGGATAATAGACCCTGACTTCCAAGGAGCTGTGAGTGTTAGCGAGGGGTTTGTCCCACTGGACTTTAGCTAGTTCTGTATAACTGCAGACTGTTTCTTCTTACAGATGATTTAAAAAGAGAAGAAAATTCAGCAATTTGCTTATTGTATTGTCATATGTTTTTCATTTTAAAGAGTCTTTCTGCCTTTTCTGGAGAAGCTGTTGTTTTGTTGGGCTTCTCCAAAATGCTTTATTGCTTGAGTTTTCATGAAAGCTGACACTGGAATTTCTTAGTAAGTGCTTTTGTTCCTAAAGTTGGAAATTGGGCTCAGTGCTGTTTTATAGAGGAGGGAAAGTAAGGGATGTGATTTACTAAAGATCATGAGCTAGACTGATACCCCATTGGAGGCGGAGGCTCTGGGAGCAGAGTGTGATGGACCATCTGATTGTCTGCCTCTGTGGTGATAGATTAGATTGATTTGGTTCAGATAAGGTATGGTGACTTTTCCTTCTACTGCATGAAATGTCTGTCCTTTGCGTGCCGAAAATAGGCCCCAGAAATGATTTATTGTTTGATTCTTTACCAGGATGCATAGATGGTGGGCATTTGAAAGTGACTGCCAGATTCTGGCAGAGCTTGGGCTGTGTGCGTGTGTGTGTGTGTGTGTGTGTGTGTGTGTGTGTAGATTCAGGTCTGGCCTGGGGCAGTTGTGAAATGAGCTGGTACTTATGGGCAGCTGGGCATGTTCCTGGCTGGGGGTAAAGCTTGAACAACCCTGTGCTTCCAGACCTACACAGTCTCCAGCACAAGAATCATCACCTGCCTGGCCATACTTGGAGTCTCTACTTGCCATGTGCTATGAATTGAATATTTGTGTCCTCCTTAGAATTTTTAGGTCACCACCTTAACTCAGAATGTTATGGTATTTGGAGGTGGAACCATTGGGAGGCAGTTAGGCCTGGAAGATGGAGCTTTAATGAATGGTGTTAGTGCCTTTAAAAAGAGATCCAGAGAGGTGTTCCCTATCTTTGCCTGCGAGGGTACAGTAGAAACATCTTGCTGTGCAACCCAGAAAGTGGGCCTCACCAGGACCTGAACTGGCCACCCCATGGCCTTAGATTTCCTAGCTTTCAGAATTGTGAAGGGGTTTCTTTTGTGTAAACCACTCAGTGTATAGTATTTTTTCTTTTTTTTGGTGATGGTGGTGGTACTGGGGGTTGAACTTAGGATCTCGCCACTGAGCTAAATCCCCGGCCAGTATTTTTCTCATTTGTTGAGTAAGGAATAGTAAGCCTTGATTTTGGTGTGAGCCTTGGCCCTGTAGAAGTGATACGCTGAACTCCCAAATCTATGGGTGTGGCATATGACCTTCTTGCCTTTTGTCATGGGGGTGGCTGCCATCAGTAACAGCCCACTGAGTATAATAATAGGCATAAGGAATCCAAAAGAGGGCTGTGATTCTTCTTTTCCCCAAGCAATGAGAGTATAGCTCTGTATTTTTGGGTATTTTGTATTTCATATCCACATTTTGGACTCTGGGTACACTGCACTGTAAGGAGAGATTTTTTTTTTTTTTGAATGGAAAGGGCCATATATCTACCTGAGAGTTGTGGGTTGTGCCAGTATCCACTGTTGTGGTACAGAAACAACCATTTAATACATGTGGCTGTGTTCTAGTTTTTCTTTATGAATTATGAAATTGGAACTTCATGTAATCCATGTAAATTTACATGTCACAAAACAGTTTTTCTTTTGCAGCCATTTAAAAATG